AAGAAGAAACTTTGCTACTCGCGTGCCAAAACCAATTTGAAGAAAAAAGAAACAAGTGGTACCTCGACACCAGCGCAAGCAACCACATGTGCGGCGATCGAAGCATGTTCGTAGAGATCAATAAAGCGACAACTGGAAATGTCTCATTTGGAGATGACTCAAAGATACCGGTCAAAGGCAAAGGTAAAATTCTCATATGCTTAAAGAATGGGAGTCATCGATTCATATCCAATGTCTACTATGTTCCTAACATGAAAAATAATATTTTGAGCCTAGGACAATTATTGGAGAAAGGATATGACATCCACTTGAAAGAACATAATCTTTTCTTAAGAGATTGTGGGCATAACTTGATTGCTAAGGTGCCTATGTCAAAGAATAGAATGTTCCTCTTGAACATTCAAAATGATGTGGCAAAGTGTCTCAAGGCTTGTTATACCGACTCTTCGTGGCTATGGCATCTACGATTTGGACACCTCAACTTCGCCAGTCTAGAATATTTGTCAAAGAAGGAGATGGTGAGAGGCTTGCCTAGTATAAACCACCCAGACCAACTATGTGAAGGATGTCTAATTGGGAAGCAATTCCGAAAAAGCTTTCCAAAGGAATCAACATCAAGAGCGACAAAATCACTAGAGCTCATACACACTGATGTCTGTGGACCAATCAATCCAAACTCTTTTGGTAAGAATAAATACTTTCTCCTCTTTATTGATGATTATTCTAGAAAAACGTGGGTTTATTTCTTGAAGGAGAAGTCAGAAGTGTTTGAAAACTTTAAGAAGTTCAAAGCCCTTGTGGAAAAAGAAAGTGGTATTTCTATTAAGGCCATGACATCTGACCGAGGAGGAGAGTTTACTTCAAACGAGTTCAACAAATATTGTGAAGAGCATGGAATCCGCCGCTTACTAACAGTGCCAAGATCGCCACAACAAAATGGAGTAGTGGGAAGAAAGAACCGAACCATGCTTAATATGGTGCGAAGCATGCTTAAGAGTAAGAAGATGCCGAAAGAGTTTTGGGCCGAAGCAGTGGCATGTGCAGTTTACCTGACAAATCGTTCCCCAACAAGAAGTGTGAATGAGAAGACACCACAAGAAGCATGAAGTGGAAGGAAGACAGGGATCTCTCACCTCAAGGTGTTTGGATGCATTGCATATACCCATGTTTCATATGAAAGGAGAACAAAGCTCGATGATAAAAGTGAGAAGTATGTATTTGTGGGTTACGACTCAAGCTCAAAAGGGTACAAGCTCTATAATCCAAATAGTGGAAAGATTGTCATAAGTCGTGACGTGGAGTTCGAAGAAGAAGATTGTTGGGGTTGGAGTGTTCAAGAAGACAAGTATGATTTTCTTCCTTATGTTGAAGAAGAAGAAGATGAAATGGAACAACCAATGATAGAAGAACATATTACACCACCTGCCTCACCGACACCAAGGTTGGATGAAACAAGCTCAAGTGAGAGGACACCACGATTAAGAAGCATTGAAGAGCTTTACGAGGTAACCGAAAACCAAAATAACATTAACCTCTTTTTCCTTTTTGGTGATTGCGAGCCTCTAAGCTATCAAGAAGCTTTTGAAAACGTAAAGCGGAGAGATGCCATGGACGAAGAAATAAAGTCAATCACGAAGAATGATACGTGGGAACTTACTACACTTCCACGAGGACACAAAGCAATCAGAGTAAGATGGGTGTACAAGGCGAAGAAGAATGCAAAAGGCGACGTGGAAAGATACAAAGCAAGACTGTTGGCAAAAGGCTATAGTCAAAGACAAGGAATTGACTATGATGAGGTATTTTCCCCCGTTGCTCGTCTTGAAACTATTAGACTGATCGTTTCTTTGGCAGCCCAAAATGAATGGAAGATCTATCAAATGGATGTGAAGTCGGCCTTCTTGAATGGTTTTCTCGAGAAAGAAGTTTATATCAAGCAACCACAGGGATATGAAGTAAAAGGGCAAGAACAAAAAGTCCTCAAGTTGAAAAAGGCGTTGTACAGACTCAAGCAAGCACCGAGAGCTTGGAATGTTCGAATCGACAAGAACTTCATCAAGTGTCCATATGAGCATGCACTCTATATTAAAGCACAAAGTGGAGATATTTTGATTGTGTACTTATATGTTGATGACTTGATCTTCACTGGGAACAATCTAAGCATGTTCGAAGAGTTCAAGAAAGACATGTCAAATGAATTTGAGATGACAGATATGGGGCTCATGGCATATTATCTTGGCATTGAAGTAAAGCAAGAAGACAAAAGAATTTTTATCACCCAAGAAGGCTATGAAAAAGAAGTCCTTAAGAAGTTCAAGATGGATGATGCCAATCTGGTTAGCACCCCGATGGAATGTGGCAGCAAGTTGAGTAAGCATGAAAATGGTGAGACTGTGGATCCAACTCTTTACAAAAGTTTGATTGGAAGTCTACATTACTTGACAAGTACAAGGCAGGATATTCTCTATGATGTAGGAGTCGTAAGCCGTTACATGGAAGCTCCAACAACAACTCACTTCAAGGTTTCAAAGAGAATCCTTCGATATATCAAAGGTACAACAAACTTTGGCTTACACTATTACTCTTTTAAAAATTATGAAATTGTTGGCTATAATGATAGCGATTGGAGTGGAGACATGGACGATAGAAAGAGCACTACTGGTTTTGTATTCTTTATGGGAGATACTGCTTTCACTTGGATGTCAAAGAAGCAACCTATCGTCACACTGTCAACTTGTGAAGTCGAATATGTTGTCACTACATCATGTGTTTGCCATGCAATTTGGCTAAGGAACTTGTTGAAAGAGTTAAAAATGTCACAAGAAGATCCTATGGAAATATGTGTTGACAATAAATCAGCACTTGCTTTGGCAAAGAATCCCGTGTTTCATAAAGAAGTAAACACATCGACACTCGTTACGACTTTATAAGAGAATGCATCAAGAAGAAGGATGTGAAGTTGAAGTATGTGATGTCTCGAGATCAAGCTGCCGACATTTTCACCAAGCCACTCAAGTTAGAAACGTTCGTAAAGCTAAGGAGCATGCTTGGAGTCACAAATCAAGTTTAAGGGGGGATGTTGAAATATTAAACTTGATTTGGGCCTAAACATATTATTTGGATTTTTGGGCTTAGTTATTTTGGACTTTGGTAATTTTAATTAATGTTTCTAGAAAACTCTTGTAATGTTTGGAGTGTCTAGATATTTCTTAAGGTTGTAGTATTCTCTAGAATGCTCTTGAAATTCCTAGAGTTGAGAACTCTCCAGAATTAGTGTGTCTAGAGTTCTCCTTAGAGTACTATAAATAGAGATGTAATTCTACACCTTTGTATCAAGCAAAATACAAAATTCTCTCTTCCATAAATAATTCTTCTACCTATCAAATTTCTCTAATATTCCCACACACTTTTCCTAAACACAAAAGATCTTAGTTCCAACAGTAAACACTTTTTGGTATTGGTTTCCAACAACAATATTAACGCTTTTCTATTTTCCAAAACAACATGTTACCTATTCCGATTTATTTTTTCATTAATTGCCGTACTCATTACTGCCATTTTGAATTCCTAATTCTCATTCCGTTTTTATTAGTTAATTATCTATTATTTATTTTTATTTAATTATAACATTCAAATGATTAAAAAAAAAATCGACTACATATAATAAAGATTGTTATTGACACTTTTTTTTAATTATCATTTATGGAATAATGTGACTCTTTATATATATATATATATATATATATATATATATATATATATATATATATATATATATATATATATATATATATATATATATATATATATATATATATATATATATATATATATATATATATATATATATATATATATATATATATATATATATATATATATATATATATATATATATATATATATATATATATATATATATATATATATATATATATATATATATATATATATATATTTTCTTCCTATTTATATTGATTTGTAATACAACTTTTTGTTTATATATTTACTAATTTATATTAATTAAGTTTTATTTTGTTTAAAAATATTAAATGTAAACAAATATGTGTTATCGACCAGTATTCATGTTCTAATAATTTTTTAAAATGAAACTACAATTTTAAATTTTTAAAATTTTGGTGTTAGTAACGGTGATTCTAATAATTTTTTAAAATGAAACTACAATTTTAAACTTTTAAAATTTTGGTGTTAGTAACGGTGTCTTAACAACGCTTAGCGGCCATAATAATATTTTCTAGTTGTAACGGTGAATTTTGATCCATTATTTCTTTTTTATGAATAATAATATCGAAGCTTTTTGATACTGTTTTGTTGTTATCAGTAAAATCTTTTTTTTAAATGATTTTTAAATTGGAACTATATAACCAGCCTACAATTTAACTCCTTCCTTCCCTAAATGCAAACAAATCCTGATTAATTATTTTCAATCACAATTAGATGATGTTGATATTCATATGGGTCTTAGCCATCAACAATGACTTGAAAAATCTTCCTCACAAAACAACAGAGAATTATGGTACAATCGTCATGTGCTCAACATGTACTATAACTTGTCATGTGATTTAAACACCACAATGTGATTTTTCTGTCTCTCTGGATCGTTGAGATCTTTCTTTTCATTCATTGGTCAATCTTCTATTAGCTCTGTCGATTAATTAGCGGTTCAAAATGAATGAGCATAATTATTGTTGTACCAACCATGCAGGAAGAGACAATTCTTGTAGGGTCCAAGAAATATAAAAAAAAAACCAACACAAAATCAGTGTTTTATTTTACACCGTTAATTGTTACTTGTAACAAGATTTTTTTTTATAATGTTCCTTCCTCCTATATATATAATGTTCCAAAGTTATAAGTTCTAACCAACCCTTCAACTACTTAGTACAAAACAATAAGACACAAACACATCAATTTTTAACAACTTATTGTTCATTCATTCATTTTGTTACACTACAAATCATTCAAATAAACCAAGAACCATGATCTCTTCAATCAAGTGCACAAAGCTTTTACTTCCAAGGTCTCAACTTTCAATTCAACCAACCATTCAAAATGTTGAACAAAACATGGCTCTCCCTTTACTTTCTTTCAAAAAACCTCTCTACCTTTCATCCATTAAGAATTTTGCATTGTTAAAAAAACCCAAAAGAAAGAATGTGACAGAATGTCAAGCCTATGAGGCTGATAGATCTAGGCCATTAGATATTAATATTGAACTTCCGGGTGAAGAAGCAGCTCAAAAGGTTAAAATTGGATTATATTTTGCTACTTGGTGGGCTTTGAATGTTGTTTTCAATATATACAACAAGAAAGTTTTGAATGCTTTTCCGTACCCTTGGCTTACTTCCACTTTGTCCTTAGCTGCTGGTTCTCTCATCATGTTAATCTCATGGGCCACTAGGGTTGCTGAGGCCCCAAAAGTTAATTTGGACTTCTGGAAAGCCCTTTTTCCGGTGAGAAAATCTTTACATTTTCGTCTAACACGTGTCAGTATCTGATGTGACTATGTATTTAGATTAAATTTTTTAATTATTATTATATCTATGTGTTAGTGTCGTGTCAACAAAGATACAGAAAAAGGTTAGACAAGTAGTTCTAAAATTTATGTATAAGTATTTACCTTAGAAATTTGAAACTTGGTTATGTAGGTAGCTGTGGCACACACAATTGGGCATGTTGCTGCAACTGTGAGCATGTCCAAAGTAGCTGTTTCATTCACTCACATCATCAAGAGTGGAGAACCAGCTTTCAGTGTGCTAGTATCAAGAATCTTGCTTGGAGAAGCATTTCCCATGCAAGTTTATCTTTCACTGTTGCCAATAATTGGTGGTTGTGCACTAGCTGCTGTGACTGAGCTCAATTTCAATATGATCGGTAAGAAAAAGATCACAAACAGCTTTTTAATAATAGCTTACTAATTATTATATTTAAACGTACAACGTACAGCGAATCTAAATAGTGTATCGACTCTGTATACCCCTCATGTGCCACGTTATGAAGTGAATTGCAAATTACATGACTATGTTCTAAATAGAGTACTTATTCATTTTTCAGGATTTATGGGAGCTATGATATCAAATTTGGCATTTGTATTCAGAAACATATTTTCGAAGAAAGGGATGAATGGGATGAGTGTTAGTGGAATGAACTATTATGCCTGTCTTTCAATGTTATCTTTATTAATTCTCACACCTTTCGCCATTGCTGTCGAGGGTCCTAAACTTTGGGCTGCTGGCTGGCAAACAGTGTCTCAGATTGGTCCCAATTTTGCATGGTAAGCATAATGCTCTCTGCGAGCGCGTTACCTTAGTAATACTTACTCTCTTCGGATAAGGTTGTAAAATGGTTATTAATGTCTTCTTTAACGTTTACAGGTGGGTAGTTGCACAGAGTGTGTTCTACCATTTGTACAATCAAGTATCATACATGTCTCTTGATCAGATTTCTCCTTTAACATTTAGCATAGGGAACACAATGAAGAGAATTTCTGTAATAGTCTCTTCCATTCTTATCTTTCACACACCACTTCAACCTATCAATGCTCTTGGAGCAGCAATTGCGATTCTTGGAACCTTCATCTATTCACAGGTGCATTCTCATTTCCTTCTAAGCTATGTTTCTTTCTTTATACCCTAACAATGTTGTTTTGTTTTCTTTGTCCATTAATTAACACATTTTCTGTTGATTCTGTGAAAGAGCAGGCTAAAGATAAATAAGGCTGTGATTTTGAAGCTGTTATTGAAATCAAGAGAATGATGACTCCTGTTTTGAGCTTATGTTGTTAGATTATTTATGATATGGTTAGGATTATGGTGTTAATTAGAGAGTGTATTATGTTGTCAATAGAGGTATTATTTGAGGCCATTTAAAAGTGTTTGTAATCTCGTTTTTATATGTATAAATGAGGTTTCCAATATTGCTATAATGTAACAAAGAGTATTTTTTTTTAAAAGATTTCCAAAATATTACTAGTGAGTTTGTTTTTCAAAAATAATGTATATAAATTGCAAATGAAATTTAATATTGAGATTAAATGGCCCGAATCATTTAACCATAATAAAAATTGAATTTAAACATTTTTTTTAAAAGATTTCCAAAATATTACTAGTGAGTTTGTTTTTCAAAAATAATGTATATAAATTGCAAATGAAATTTAATATTGAGATTAAATGGCCCGAATCATTTAACCATAATAAAAATTGAATTTAAAATGAGCCACACATGGTTCAAACACGTAACCTTTGATGGTTGGGAAGACCTCATTACCAACTTAACTGTCCGTTGCATTGGTTTCAAATGGTGAAACAATAAAAGCATTTACTATTTTAGATCCATAATTAGTTTGATAAGGTGTGTCTCTTCTTCACTAAGTGGCCTGAATATCTATAATTCTCAAGACACTTGAGAAGAAGAAAAAAAGTGAAACCATTTCTCTACTATTTCAACTATTTTAAATAATTCTTCCCTTTATTAATACATAGGTGATTTTATAAGAAACATCTTTCTGCAGCGAATTATTAAAAGATAAAATATTTTTTTTTATAATAAATTATCTTAGTATGTTTGTCCAATTCTCATTAAAATATTTAAATTATGATGAAGAAAATTGTAGTTAATTTCAATTACATCTGATATATAATAATTGGTGGGGATGAAATAAACTTAAATATTAGTGTGAATTTAAATACTTTAAAATTTATAAAGGTAATTCATTAACATCATCTATGTTTAGTATTGATGTAACTTCCCCACAACCATATTTTCCAACAATCTTTAGGTTCTATCTATTATGAATCAATAGTCACTTTAATTGAAAAATGACATATAACTTAGTAGAATTGAATAAGTTTGATGGTGACAACTTTGTTAGCCGTTAGAAAAAGATTAAATTCCTTCATTTATTTTTAAAAGTGGTATATACTTTAAACACCATAAAAGACTGAGAAATAAAAATCAAATGCGAAAAGACAAATCATTTTTTTCAAGAACATGACATACTCCTTCTTTGATATCTATCAAAGTAGTCATTAAAAAAAACTATGGGAGAAACTATAATCAAAATGTAAAAAGGAAGACATATAACACCTAAAATTATTCGTATAGAATGATAATTTGAAATGTTTAATTTTGGTAATAAATATATTATAACAACATTTTATTACATTCAAAACTACTTGAGTTTTGGAGAATCATCACAAAAGTTACATAAAATAGCCATACACAACAGAAATAAAACAAAATATAATGGTCATAGTCCTTCGATTTAAGTTTCCTTTTACTTTTCCTTTTTTGACATATGTTCATCTGAAAAATAATTCAACAATGAGGAGTGAGATAAATATCTCAGTGGATTCTTATTTAAGAAACTAAACCCGCCTAAAAACCTTCTTTTACCTATTACACAACTTAGAGCGAATGATCTAGTACTTGTGAACTAGATTTAATTGAATGATCTAGTACTTGTGAACTAGACTTAATTACATGACAATTGTCATACCCATTAATTGGGATAAATGAGTAAATCACATACTCCTCTACTGGATAACTGGGACAACTCACATGTCATACACTAACTCACCATGATAAGTCACATATCATCTTGATGATACCAAATTAAATCACATGCCCTACAACTGAATCACGAGATAAATCAAATATATGCGTGATTGGATCACTAGGATAAATCACATATTCTTCCATGGATAAATCACATATACGTCATTGTGAATATTAGAATAAATCACATATACGTCATTGGGAGTATTAGAATAAATCTCATTCATCGAGATCGCATATCCTTTGATTAAGTATCGGGATAAGTCACATATCCTTTAGTGATTTATCAAGATTAAACCACACATTTCTTAATTTGGATCGTTGGGACAATCAATTGCCAGTGTCGCACCCTAATTTTTGACCTTAAGATTCCACCTCGTTGTCTTTTTTTTTTTCTTGTCTTTTTTTTTATCTTTATACTTTTGTGTGCGCGTTTTTTTATGACTAACAAGTGTGTGCAGGTACATGAGTTTTAAACATAGATGATACTTATTTTCGCAGACAAGCATCTCAGGGCTATTCGAAAAAACATGAATTTAAAGACAACTTGGGAGAGACTTTGTGACCATACCTCGCGTTAGATCATGGCCAGGCTGTAGTCCTCTATTGTTGTATCATTAGGTGTTTGTTTTTGAGGATGTGGTATTTGGATCCCAAATCCTGGGCTTGTTGGACTTTGGTGTATTATGATTTGGGTTGCGGTATTCGAAATTTTGGCTGCAACATATTTGGTTGTCATTCAGAGTTTCATGATCATCGAGGTATTCAAGATCAAGCTTGCAACCCCTTGGCCCGATAATATAACTTTGGCCTGCCCGTATTTAGGTTACGGACCCAGAGAGATTTTTGGCTTAATTATATTTCATGTGATTAAAGATTCCGGAAGATTGAAGCTTCATAAGGTTTAAACTCGAGATTTAAGGTACACTAATTGTTTTTAGGAGTTTTGTTTGTTTATCCAAAATTCCGAGTTGCAAGATTAAGGATACAAGCTAGAGGCACCTCACTTTATGCAAAGGGGTAATTGACATTAATTCCCAACTCAGATTTTAATCAGTGGCGTAACCGTTGTTCTCCAAGAGAGATGGTGGCAGGCTATTTATGGTAATACTATCGTGAGAGTGAGAAATACGGTCGTTATGTGTTACTTTGTCCCTAAAGCATCTTCAAAGAATGGATATAGATTTATATACCGAATAATTCTAAGTTTGGCATCCTGAAGTTACGTTTTCTTCTAAGGATGTCCAACAGACCACTTTACCTTTTCAAAATGAATAAATCTTTTAGAATGTAAGTCAAGTTTTGAGAGACCAAGCTCTAATTCAATTAAAGGTTCATTTTAAATTAAGATTTAAGTGTCAAGACCGCTTACATCAGTACCAACATCATAAACCGTACTGCTCTTAAAATAGAAATAACTAGAATCTACAAAGCCACCAGAACACAGATATTCAGGTATATGGTTAACCATCTACAGAAAGGAGAAATCATTCCTATCACAGATAATGCGAAAAACGCCGCAGCTTCGGTGGCATTTCTTCACGAGCTATATCCCTCTATTCATCTTCAAAGGAAAAGAAACACTGCTACTCGATACACCAACACCACCGTTAACCGCTGTCGAACACATAAGTCCAGACAAGTCCTCATGAGAAGCTTTGAGCAGACACTTTGTAAACAATAGAACAATAAGCGTCGACTTGTGCGTCCGCTCGGAAAATCTGCACACATCAAGAGCCGGTTGCAACCACCATTCTGAGTCTGAAACATTGCATACCCTGTCCAGTTTCCAACCAATTCGGAGGATGTTTTAGTTTCTCGTTCACCCGCTACTACCAAAGGAAATCCCTGCAATTTGCAATTTAGTTTATGTCAGTCCTTGCAAATATCATATAAATTAATAGCTAAATGTGAACATCATAATAACAACAAATTAGGAGAATAATGTATGTTCCAGTTGTCCATCCGCTGGTCCATCTTGGTTGTTTTAGTATAGATTTCGAAAGGATGATTTTGGTAGACAACCTCGTTCGTACGGATATGCATCCCGGCTTGGAAGTCGTCTCAAGACGTTACCTCCGCTGTCCCTTGAGCGGTATCAACTGAGCTGCCAAATTTAAAGTATAAGAGTAAGGCTTTGTGACCACATGATAAGCCCTTAAAGAAACAAGGAAAATGCGAATCACTACAAAAATTTGAAGGTGCATGAATTCAAACTTACCTTGACGACAGTTTCGAAGAAGGAAAGTCATGGAAGATTCGGAACCGAAATAGGAGCAGTTCAACTTTCCGCAGAAGAAACAACCATTAAAGCAGGACCTTTAGAAGGATTTAATCTGAGTATTTGCTTTGAGGATTAAAAGATATCCGCATAAGGGCAGCTTCAAGCTCTCTTCCGAAATCCTACCGTCGCCACCTCCATGTTAACCAAATTAAACGAGCATCAAGAAATATGGGAAGATATTAGTCAGGAAAGCCCGGTGTTCAACATCAAATAAAATTCAACTCAGCATCCTATGGACCATAAGAACGAACTGTCAGCATGTAAAGAGGAAAGAATGTTATTGCATAAATTCAAGTTTCCAACCGAAGCCTTGGGGAGAACTCGGGGATTCGCCGTCACAAATCCCTCGAAGAAGAACGATGCCGCCTTGTTTTCTTGAAACCTCTATGTGGTGGACGGTAAAGGTGGGATATCCAAATTCTGCTTTGAGCTGTGAGGAACTTCGAACCCGCCGCAACACTTGATACAAACCTTCAAGCGAATCCTAGTCTACCTCATCTCCAGGACAACTGTGAACTATGTTTGGTTCTTCTAATTAGCGGCATGCTACGGAGTTTAGAATGTTGCAACACCACTGCCGGCATACCATTGGGTTGTGAAAACTTATTTAGTCACTACAGTTCTTTCAACCTGTCAAAAGAAAACCAATGGGAGAAATTTAAATCAAAGTATACACAATTACAAGCTTTCAACAAGGACATAACAATCATGATTGTTTTCGCCGGCACGCAGTAACAAGTTAACACAATATGAACATGTATGGCCGTAATCAGCAAGCCTGTCGAAGATTAGAACCTGTTGAAAGTGCAGTCAGAACTTTGGATTTCTGCCACAAATGCTCCAAGACGCTCACAATTTCTTAACTTTTAGTTAATT